CGATTCTCGCACTTTACTTAAGGTCACTACCGCGCTTGACTCAATTGTCGTCTCTATCTCTGCCTGTCTGCAATTCAATTCCGATTAATTGCCTCGCTTTATCTGGCGCGCTTATGTACAGGAATAGAGGGCATCTAGCAAATACTGGATTATTCGTGATGTTCCCCGATCCTTCTGGAAACTCATCACGTGTTACCAGAGTCACGTGACCTCCGCTGTCGTAACAATATACAAAAAGCTATCATTGACACCAAAGCACTACTACAGCACATACGTAATTAACACGCTTTCCCCTTCCTGACCCATCTCTTCATATCCGCTTTCTGTCACGTGCCTTTCTATTCTAGAAGTACAAATCTCAGATTTCCTGAAACACGAGATGACCGTTTGCATGAACTTTAGACGATATTAATACTGTTGCGTCAGCGAGTCACATGACTGGTGTGACGCCACGTTTCTAGAACTATCCCGTATCTTGGCGAATGCTCTAGTATTTACTAGATGGAGGGTAGATTGGTATATAAAGGAGGGTGACAACGTGACGGGAGAATTAATGTAATGTGTGTGTAGGTAGTGAGTAATTGAACTGCAGTCACAGGGTATTGTTGAAGTTAACGTTCGTTCGTTATAGTGTTTGTTTTAGCGCGAGTATTGAGATTAAGGGTATCGCAGAGTTATATTAGGAAAGAATAAACCAGTTTTATTAAATAAAGACTTGTGTCGCTTAAGTTTCGTCGGAACGAAGTTACGGAAAATCAATTAACAAACGGAGACGTAACAATACCATTCTAACTTATAATAATTACATTCTATTGATTTATCAGATGGGTACCGTCACTGTTAGAGATATTTTCGGCCGTAATGCCAATGTATTATGTAGTTATTTGCAAAACATAAAGTTAAAACGTTCTGGAATTGTTTAAACATATCGAAATTAAATAATTAACTCTTTTAAATTATTTTTATTCAAAATAAGCCCAAAAGTTGATACTGCTGTCTAACTGGGTGATCTGACAGTTTAATCTGTATACAATAAAAGTATGTTTGTTGGTGTTGATGTAGTAATTTGAAATTTCAATCACTGTTGTGTGGGTCAGGTATTAAGCTGACACTAATCTAAAACGTTGTGAACTTGTGTTCTGAATATTAGTCAATATAATTTAATTCTGAGCTGGTTAAGAAAATATAGTGTAGTTTAAAAAACGATAAGTCTCCTGGACTAGATAATATTTCCCCAGGGGTTTTTGAAGGAGGTTAAAGATTAGATATGTGAGCCACTTACTACTATTTTTGTCAGCCCTTGAATAGTGGGCAGATACCAGAGGATTGGAAGTCAGCTAATGTAACTCCTTTTTTCAAGGAAGGTGATAAAAATTATCCCAGTAATTATATACCCATTAATCTTACATCAGTTGTGGGAAACGTCTTGGGAAGTCTGATAAAAGATGATTTGCAAAATCATAGAGAAAGTTTAGAATTTTATTTGATAGTCAACATTGGCTCAATAAGGGAAAATCTTGCCTTACGAATCTTTTGACATTCGTTATGTAGATGAGGGTAAGGGTGTATGTTTGGTGTGTCTGTATTTTCAGAAAGCATTTGACAAGGTGCCACATAAAAGGCTTGTAATAAACATTATCTCTATAGGTGTGGGGGATAAGTGAACAGATTGGATAGAAGAGTGTCTGGGTAGAAGAAAGCAAAGGGTTGTTACAAATGGAATTCAATCAAACTGGATTATTATCACAAGTGGGGTACCTTAGGGCTCAGTCTTAGAACCTTTGCTCTTTTTGATTTATATCAATGATATAGATAAAAGAATGGTCAATAAATTACTTAAATTTGCAAATGATATTAAGGTCTTCAGTGTTGCTAGCTGGGAAGAGGATGCTGGTGATCTACAAAAGGATTTAGAGTTGGGAAAATAAATAGCAAATGGGTTTTAATTATAGTAAATGCAAGATAATGCATGTGGGTTGTCATAATTTGAATTATAAGTATCATTTGGATGGGTATAACCTTAACAGGGTCATGAAGGAAAGGGATCTTGGTGACATAAGTCGATCAGTCTCTAAAGCCATCCAAGTAGTGTGCTGTTGCTAGTCATAAGGCAAAAAGGATTTTAGGTTGTATCTAGAGAAATGTTTAATACAAGTCTAAAGAGTTTATAATTTCATCATATATGTCACTGGTTAGGCCACATTTGGAATACTGTGTTCAGTTTTGGGCTCCTTGCCTTAAGAAAGATATTGAATTGTTAGAAAGGGTTCAAAGAAGGGTTACTAGAATGGTGCCTTGGATGGAGGAGTTGTAAACGAGGAGAGGTTAAAATCTCTGAAACTGTTTTCTCTTGAAAAAAGAAGAGTTGGGGGGATCTGATTGAGGTGTTTAAGATTGTAAAGGGAATTGACAGTGTTGATGCATAATATTTTTCATACTTAACAGTGAGGACAGTAGGACTAGGGACACAAATATAAATTTTGGTATGGTATGAGTCATCTTCAGCTAAGACTCGTACTCAATTTTTTAACAGGGTGGTTGGCCTTTGGTTGTTGTGGAAGCAGTAAATTTAATTTAAGAGAAAGCTTGATAAGTATATGAATAATAAGGACTGGCTTTAAGATTTTTTTTAAATTTATTTATTAATAGTTTTAGTTTAGTTTAGAAGATGGAACAGCCGAGATGGACCAATAGTTCCCATGTTGTTCCAAAACTTTATGTTATGTTAATCTACATAAGTGATCTGAAATCTACATAAACAATGCCAAAAAAAATTACATTTTATGACAAAAAATGATATACCAATTACAAGTTATTGAAAAAGTACAACTATGATACACCAGTATGAAAAAAATAAACTAAAACTCTCCAAAAAATGTAAAATTAATAACTCACCTTGGTTCGAGCATTGACGTTTAGACCCAATTCCAAAAATCTCTCCACAAAGACGACACGATTTTCCTTAACAGCGTACATAAGAGGTGTATATCCGGTTTTCTATGTAACAAAATAAAGGTACTTATTTTACCAAAACAGCATCATCTTCCAGAAACAGAATCTTTTTTGTTTTGTTTTAGCGCAAAGCTACACAATGTTGTAAGTCCGTAAACTTACCACCGATCCACTGAATCAATAATGCTGAAAGATGCAATAGTCCTGAAAAGCATTCTGCCTATTCTTCCTCAGATTCTCTAATGACCGCAATGTTCAACATTACACAAAAAAGGGACTATTTTAACAAAAATGTAGTTAAGATAAGTAGCTTCGAGTATTATACAATATACTTTGTTATCTCTTTGGGAGTTCTATCCGTAAATTAAAATATATTATATTTTTTAAATAACATTGATTTTTCGAACATAAGCGAATTAAAAACAAAAAGAAAAGAGAGGAATATCTTAGCTTCATTTAAATAATGAGTCTGACAATATCATACAAGGTAAAATTTTATTTGAATCATTTATTTGAGCTTCTGATTCGTTAGAAACGATATTTTATAAACAAAAACTATAAATAATATTGGACAATACTTCATCATAAACATTATTTCTGTAACAACATTTTACTAATTAATATTAA